CGTAATCAAAACACTCATGAGGCTGAGGCAGGGCGACCTCAAGGTCCAAGCTAGCCTGAGCTATAACCTGAGGCCACCTAACCCCTATACAGCTCAAAAACCTGACAAACAGGTAAGTAAAAAGTTAGGATGCTAAAAGAACAGCAACGGGGTAATTTATATTTTTAGATCCTTGAAAACATGCACAACCTCTTCTCAGGGTTGCCGGAGAAACCATTAGCCCCAAAACTTAGTGCTTACATTTTTTTTTGGTTCATTTCTTTGTTTTCTGTAACTGGGGCCTGAACCCAGGGCCTAGCAAATGCTAAACCCAGGTGTTGTAACAACTGTCCTGGTAGACGAGCAGAAAGAGCAACTTGTGCCACAAAGAATTAAAACCTCATGCTAGAGGAAGAGAAAACCTGACATCCTGGTGTCAACCAGAAGAGGAGTGTGTGGACCAGGATGAGAGGTCACACGATTCTGACAACTTGTCAGACCATCTTAAAGGACAGGTTGGAACTGAGGTTATTACGGACAGAATCATCTTGGCCAGGCCCTCTGCCTCTTCCCTTCTATTTAAACCCAAACCTCCCAGCAGTACCCCAAAGACGGACTTGGGGATCACTAGTCCCCTTTATTTGTTCTTCTCTCCAATGTCATAGTCAATAAACTTACTTTCTGCTTTTCACCATTGCTTGTCTCTTTAATTGGCATATGAGGGGCAATGGGCAAAGCCTAGCTTGTTTGTGCTGTCGGAGCCCAGGCTTTGACCCTAAGAACCCCAGTGACAGACCTACCACTAAGCTATGCCTCAGTCCCATCATTTCTTAAAAAGCAATTCCAAATTAATCAAGTTTTCCCAACTCTAATGAAATCAAGACTCCTCGGCTAAGTACCTCATGGTGCAGGGGAGGGGGAAGTGGAGGTAGGAAGGGAGAAGACTGAAATAATGGACTACATTATGGATTGAGGAAAAACTACAAATTTTGTTTTGGAAGAACATCAAGATACTGAAAAGCCACAAATAAGGTGATCACTGACTTACTGAGTCACGGCTGTGCCCAGTGGTTTGATTTGCTGGCATTTTATTTACTCCCAAACCCCTAAGCACTCTGTTATGCTCCCTTTTCAAATGGGAAATTGAGACCTAGAAAACCTAAGAAACTAGACCAAAGACATCAGCCAGTCAGAACACAGAAGAACCATAGAATTACAAAGACATAGAGATCTGTTAACCAAACTCAGTGCTTTATAGAGATGCACTCAAAGCCCTAAAAAAAAGACAGGAGTTGAAGACACATCCCAGTTACCTGGGCTGGAAGCAGCTCAGACACCCAACTCTCTGCCTTCCACTCCATGTCAAAATTATGTCCTAACCAGGGGTTACACGACACTCGGTGTTCTATTCACCAATGTACAATGTTTTTCAAAAAAGTATGAGCAGTCAGGCTGGGTACAGACCTATAATCCTAGTAACCTGAGATGCCGAACCAGCACCATCAGTAGTTCAAGGCTAGCCTGGGCTACAGAGCTCAAGACTATCCTATGAATCTTAGCAAGATTAAATCTGAAAAAAAAAAAAAAAAGTTTTAAAGGGATGTAACCAATGATACAACATTGCCAAGATCCTGGGTTTGATCCCTAGCACCTGGTGAGGTGGTGGGGAACAGCTGGGGGAGGGGAAAGAACAGAAACTGGAAGGTCATCTACATATGCACACCCCTTTTCCGGGGAAGGGGGATTGTGAGTGTGATATGTATGTTTACCAGTTGCTATGGGTGTGTTTATGTGTGTATAGATATAGATGATAAATTGTGACTTTAGTTCCATAATCCAAGGTTAACAGAGTAATGGATGTAGTCTTTCTATGAACTACACATTGTCCAAAGCCCTGGATATGTTAATTCATTTGACTTTCACGGCTGTATAACTTTATTACCCCAGTTTACAGATGACTCAAAGCCAAACACAGGTTAAGTAGCTTACATCATTCTCAGAGGAGTGGCGGAGTCTCCACACAGGTGCTGTGCCTCCTTCCTCCTCACCAAGTCAACCTCAGAGCCTATGTTCCTGTTTCATGAGCACCAAAAGCCCCAAGTCACACGTGCCTCTTCCACTCCCAGCTCCCCACACATCTGCCTCCTCTTTCCAATCTGGCCTGTGACTCCCCACACTCATCACACTTCCACTCACAGCGCCCAGTAAGACGACACAGTGCTTTTAGGTACTAGGGATCAAACGCAGGACTTCCCACACACGAGACAAACCACTCTATACAGCTACCTCCCCAGCCCCACGGTGCAGTTTTTTTTTAAAGATTTGTTTATTTAATGTACATTGGGGTTTTGCCTGCATGCATGTCTGTGAGAAGGGTGTCATATCCCCTGGAACTGGAGTTACAGACAGTTGTGAACTGCCATGTGGGTGCTGGGAATTGAACCTGGGTCCTTTGGAAGAGCAGTCAGTGCTCAAAACCACTAAGCCATCTCTCCCCCACAATGCATTTTTTAAAGGCTTCCCACATTGACTTTTTCAAATCTGAATTCCCTTTGCATCTAAACATCTCACACACTTACAGAAATGACTACTATCAACAGAGTACACACCACATCCTCAATACAACGCTAAGATCTTTCTTATAATATAAAAGTTATAAAGGATGTGTACTGAAACCTATTTGACTAACAAGAAAACTGAGACTCAGAAAGGCTAAATATTTGGGGTGTTGTTTTCATAACCAATAAAGAAAAGGCACACCTTCAAGTCCGTTGGATTCAAAGCTCACTCCTGGTCCTTATCTGACCATTGTCAAGCATGTCTTTACTTACTTGGTCTCACTTCAGAGTCCCTAGGTATCAGACTACTCAAGAGTATTCAACAAATGGATTCTAGAAGGTCACAAGGAACACAGTAACTACCTGGAGTAAGGGTTTCTAACACTATTTCTCAAATACCTTAACGTATGGAAGCAATCACGTTCAGATAGTCCCTCCCTCAAAACTGTAAATGCTTCTGATTTAAATCTTCTAAGGAATATTACCCATCAGTCCGGGAACCCAGGATTGTCCTGTGGCTTCTGGACTCCCTCCAACACCAGCCATCAGAAAGAGTTAGCTGGCCTTGTTTAGCTTTGTCAGTCACTTAGACGTCTCTCTTGGCCCCAGGCAAATAGCAACTCGCCAAAAAGCCTGACTGAAGTCGGGTAAACTTAATCCAATCTCACTTCTCAATCGGCCTGACCACCACCACCACCCAGCATACTGTCAACGCTCATGACATAAACATCCTCTGAATACAAAGGTCTGAGCAGCACTTTTTAACTCCATGGACTATCACAGGAGCGATTATTGTTCATTCATATGAAAGCTAACAATCACACTTAGGTTTTTGGAACTGTGCATCTTAATGGCACTATAAACATCACAGTTTATAATGAAACAAAATAAGCTATTCAACTCTACGAAGTCAACAAATGGGTGACACAGGAGAAAAAAAAATTTTTTCCACCCGTACTCTTTGACACAGTAAAAATACCTTTGTTACTTAGCAGGGTACCTGTGCTCTCCCAACATATGCCACGCCTTTCAGGATGACAAAAGCAAAGAGATCTGCAGCTGCCTTTTTAAAGAATCAAAGAGAAAAAGAAAAATCGCTCGGACCTCTTAACCAAGAATAAAGTCTAAGGATGAATTTCACCTCCCTTTTCTTTGACACAACCCGATTTTCCTTAACCAGAAAAAAGGGGGGAGGGGGCTGCAACACAGAACTCACACTCGTCCTCTCCTAACTGGGCTCATCCCAAACTTCACCTAAGCGCGAAACAGGCAGGCACCGGGAATTCCAAGGAAATGGTCTCGCCCCTATCAAAGCACATTTTTAACTTCCTCGAAACCATTATTTCCCTAGGGCACGATCAAACACTCCCACCCGGACGTACCACCTAAGAGACTACTTGTAAGAGAAGCTCAAACACACACAAAGAGAGAACACTGTTGGGAGCCGGCGGCGCGGAGCCTCAGCCAAGTAGCCCGGGCCATCGCGGCCACCGAGGCATGCGCTGGGTCCCCCGCTCCGGCCCTCGGGGCAGGAAGCCCGGCTCCGCCGCGCGGCTGCTCCCCGCCGGCTCCCGCCCCGACCACAGCGATAAGGTGGAACTGCGCTTCCCACCCGGGCAGCTCCGCCCTCCGGGCCACATTCCTGAGAAGCCCGAGTCCCCGGACGCCGCGCCGGGCGCCTGGCGGGCAGCAGCGCGGCGCCGTGGCCGCAGGGCAGGAGAGCAGCGCCGACTCCTCACTGTTCCTGCCTGCCCTCGCAGCCGCGCGCCCTGGCCCCCGCGCAAACCGCACCCGCGCGCACCGCACGCGCCGGAGCCCCGCACCCGCGCGCCCCGGGCGGGGTCGCCACGGCCACAGGTAGCGCCACCCCGCCGCCGCCACCCCGCAGGCCCTCTCCAGGCACCTGGATGAACTGGATGGTGAGCGCCGATTTGCCCACGCCGCCGCCGCCGACCACCACGAGCCGGTACTTCTCCTGGCCGGAGCCGTCGCGCCAGCCGGCCGCGGCCATCGGGACGCCCCGAGCCCAGCCCGGCCGCCGCGCGCCCTAGGCCCGGCTCCGGGGACGAGTGCGGCCGGCTGGGCTACAGGCGGTAGGGCGCGCGGGGCCCGTGAGTGGCCTGGAGGGCGGCGGAGCGCTATCCCCCGGAACGGCTGGGAGTTGCCCGAGACGCGGAGGAGCCGGGAAGGCGCCGGGGCAGGGGACGCAGCGGCCAGGGAGCGCGCTCCTCTCCGGGTCTCTGCAGCGCAGCCGAACGCAGCCTCCAGCACCGCTACAAATGGCCGTCTGGGGGCCGGGCCGCCGGGCTGGGGTGCTACATATGCATGAGGGGGCGGGGCCAGGCCGCGCCCGCCCTGGCTGAAGCTCTAGAGCGCACTAAGCTGCAGACCCCGCGGACCTGCCCCCGGGAGCACCCGGAGGCGGAGAGGGAAGAAACCGGGAAGCCTGACGGGCGATAACAGTAATTGCCTAAGTCAGGGATCGTGTTCATGAAAGAAACAGCCTGTGACGGCGTGGATGGAAAATAGAACTGTTATCATATTCACTCAACTCTGTACCCTGTTTTCGGAATGCAGATGGTCTGTATTTGTTTTGTTTTTTAAGTATAAGGCAGTGATGGCAGAAGATGAGAAGTGTCGCAGTAACTAAACATGTGATGGATGGACTAGTGGCAGGGAGAGTGGGTGGGTAGTGATTGAGCTTGTATGGGGGCCACAGGACATGTCTACAGATTTGGGGTGCAGATCTCCGTTCCCGTTTATGTGTGAAAAATGTGTGGTAACTGCATATGAGGGTCGTGAGAAATTTGCAGGCAGTGACATGCCGGGACAGTGTTCCTTTCGAACGCGGCTTCTACGAACATGATCACGGCCTTGCTCTCAGAGTCCAGTGGGAGAGGCAGCCAGGACAATAGGCACCTTGTAAGACATGATAAGGACAACTGCACTGCACTGAGGTCCAAGGTGCACTCACCCCACCCCACCCCCAGCTGGCCAGTCAGAGGTTTTCTGAAAGACCTGAATAATCTTGTGAACAGATGAGTGATTGGAAGAAAGCATTCCAGGGAAAGAAAACCATGTTGGGCTGCACATGGCGGCCCTTGCCTTTAGTCCCAGTATTCTGGAAGCAGGAGCAGGCAGACCTCTGTAAGTTCAAAGAATTCCAGGCTAGTGAGTTCCAGGCTAGAGCTATACAGAGAAACCTGGTCTAAAAAGAAAGAAAACCAGATATGCAGGTATGCAGAAGTCAGAGCTGACAAGGAACACGTTCTGTTGTGTGGTTTTAAATGTGCTGAGGGGAGTTTACAAGCTAGTAATTATAAATAGAAACTCATTGTGTGTGTGTCAGCTTAGTTGAATATGGTAGGAATATATCTCTCTGTAGAGGCAGTATAAGGTTAAGGCTGTGGTTCTCAACCTGTGGATCGGGACCTCTTTCACAGGGGTTGCCCAAGACCATCTGTATATCTATTGGATACTTACAGTATGATTCATAACAGTAGCAAAATGACAGTTATGAAGTAACAATGAAAATAATTTTATGATTAGGGGTCACCCCAACATGAGGAATTGTAATAAATGGTCACAGCATTAAGGACGTTGAGAACCACTGGGTGAAGGCCATAGTCTCAGGAGGTAGACTGGATCAAATTCCTCCTCTTCTCCTAATGGCATGGTGATGGGAACTTAACCTCTATGCCTCAGCTTCCTCTTCTCTCAAATAAGGGCACTGAGCCAGTGCATGGCTCAGAGAATAACAACACAAACCTGGTTTCTGGGACCCACAATGGAAGGAGAGAATCAACAACACCCAAAAGTTGTTCTCTGCCCTCCACATACGTGCCGTGGCAGGTACGCACCTTCACTCACATACATACATTAAACACACACACACACACACACACACACACACAAAGGAATGCAGCAATGAAACACTGCTGGTATGGGGTAAGCATGGCAGTTTTACAATATGGCTTGAAGTTCTCGACCACACTAGTGCCTTGCATGAAGCCGGCCAAATGCAGTGGAGGAGATAAAGATGGCTTCCGAGGCCACTGCAGGAAGGACCACAGAGTTTTTACCTGTCTCTTGGGATTCTTACTTTGAAAAAAAAAAACAAAGAATTCAAAGAATTCCAGGCTAGTGAGTTCCATAAGATTGATTACCATAAGATGGCCATGTATCTATACCAGCCAAAAGTGTTCCTGAATCCAGAAGAAGGGCACCAGCCCGAGGGAAGGAGGAGGGTGTGGGGAGGGTGGTGTAGGAGAGCGGCAAAATGAAGTGTCATAGCACCATGTATATGGAAATGCCATGGTGAAACTTACCTATTACTTTGTAGCCATCTTGAAAATTTAATTTAAAAACACAGAAAAATGTGGAGCATGGTGGTGCATGACTTTAATCCCAGCCTTTGGGAGGCAGAAGTGGGTGAGTATCTGTGAATTTAAGAGCCACCTATTCTGCATACTGAGATCCAGGCCAGCCAGGGCTGCGTAGTGGAACCCTGTCTCAAAAAATAAAAAAAAAATAGGGGAGGGAGCTCAGGGGTTAAGAACACTTGCTGCTCTTGCAGAGGACCCAGGTTTGATTCCCAGCACCTACATGGTAGCTCACAAACTGCCGATAATTCCAGCTCCAAGGGGTCCTATGTCTCATGTCCTCTTCCAGCCTCCATAGGCACTTGCACACATATGGCATACACATAGATAAAAAATATTTTTAAAACACAAAATATGAAATAAAGTATAGAAGGGTCACCCCCACCCCTGAGTTCCCACTAGACCACCAGCATTATCTGCAGCCACCTAAGTGAGACATACAGAACAATCATCCCAGTGCACACTTCAGAAGAATGCAGTCCCTGCTGGTCCCTGGCTGTGAACTCCAGGAGAGGACTGCCCAGCCTGGCCCTGCCTTAACTCCTGACCCATAAAGTCACAAGAAAAACAAAATTATGACCTGTGTGTTCTGTGTGTGTGTGTGTGTGTGTGTGTGTGTGTGTGTGTGTGTGTGTGTGTGTGAGAGAGAGAGAGAGGGGGGGGGAAGTGCTGGAAATAGACTTCAGGGCCTCTTGCAGACAGTGTAAGTATTTTGACTTTTTATATTTAATTTTTAAGATTATTTTATTTTTTGTGTATGAACATTTTGCTTGTGTGTATTTCTGTGCACCACATGTGTGTCTGGTGCCCAAGGAAGCCAGAAGGTGTTGGATCCCCTGGAACTGGAGCTATGAACAATTGTGAGCTGCCATGCATGTGGGGGGTGGAAATCAAACCTAGGTCCTCTGTAAGAACAGAAAGAGTCTCCTACAACTCCTAGCCATTGCTTGACCCTCAGTTTTGTTTTGTTTCTTGTTTTTTCCCTTTGGGATCTTATTATGTAGCCCAAGATGGGATCACAGTGGCAGAACACTGTGCAAAGTTCACACAGCATTAATCCCAGCCCTCGGGAGGCAGAGACAGGCAGATCTCTGAGTTTGAGGCCAGCCTGGTCTACAGAGCAAGTTACTTGACAGCCAGGACAACACAGAGAAACCCTGTCTCAAAAAAATAAGAATAACAACAAAAGATTGTTTCACAGCAGTAATGACTAGAAATGCCTCCATAGAAGATATTACTACCAATATGAAAAGAGGAAACCAAGAAAGAGAGAAGGAGGGAGAGAGGGAGGGAGAGGCAGGAAGAAAGAGGAACCTGTGTCAAGGGAGTCCTGAGAAGGAGTCTGTTATGATTGCCATGGATGCCTCTCATGTGCACCTGGCCCTGCAGCTTCCCATGTGCACCATGATGATCCCTGTATGTGGCTAATCCAACACGGAAGCCATGCCAGCCATCCCATCCTATCGACTGCTTCCCAGGCTTCCATTTCTTCTTCCCCTTTCGTGTAGTACAGTGCTCCATTATTCTGGGGAATAGGAACCAAGTCCCCCACCAGATGTTGGACCCTCAACCAGAACCTGATCCTATACATACATACTATGGCTAGGTTTAATTTATAAGTTAGTTATTAGCAAGAGATCAATAATAACCAATGACCAAACATTATAATGTGATAAAATTAGCAGAATAACTAGTATTGTGTTTGGGGCTGTTAAATAAAATAAGAGTTTCTTGAACACAAGCAGTTCAATCCCCGGACAGTTGCTCTTATAACTAAAATTGATATTGATTAATAGAATAGGTAGTGGATAGCATATACATTATGGATATAATGGACAAAGGGCAATTCACTTCTTGGATGGGGCAGAGTGGGGTAATGGTAGATTTCATCACCTTCCTCAGAACGGCATTTAATTAAAAACCTACTAAGGTACGAACCGGGCCAGTGAGATGGCTCAGTGGGTAAAAAAAAACGCTTGCCACAAAATCCTGAGTACCTGAGTTCAATCCCCAGAAATTACTGTGAGAGGAGAGAACCAACTCCCTAAACTGGGGTACACATTTTTCTGTACTCACACATATCATATATGTTCAATTAAATTAATAAAAATAAAAAAAAACTCTTATGAACTGTTTCTTCTGGAATTTTCCATTTAGCATTTTCCCACTGCGAAGACAGATAAATGAAACTGTGGAAAGCACATGATCTCCAAGTTTCTAGAGTCTGAGAACAGCCTGGCCCTACTTCCAACTCCATGATTTAAACCAAATTCACTGAAAATTGCCAACCTCCAACGGCCATGGTAATTTTTGTGTTGCTGCTTTGTTTTTGGTTTTGTTTTGTTTTGTTGTTTGTTGTTTGTTTTTGTTTGGTTTTGGTTTTGGTTTTGGTTTTTTGAGACACAGCTCCACTCTGTAGCCCAAGCTGGCCTCAAACGTGCAGCAAGCGTTTTATCTCTGCTTCATAAACGCTAAGACTACTACCATACTCAACTAGTTACAGGAAAGTTAGATGACAGAAAGAAGTCAAACCAGTCAAGGACAGAGTCAGTTGGAAAATCCAGCTACAGAATGGTGAGTGCATGCTATAATCCCAGCACTCCAGAAGCACAAGAATCAAGAGTTTAAGTTCATTTTTGGCTGCATAGTGAGTTTGAGGCCAGTCTGGGTTATGTGAGACACTGTCTCAAAATAAATAAATCAATCAGACAAAACAAGCTGGGTGTGGTGGAATAAGCCTCCAGCACTGGGGAGGCAGGCAGATCCCTGGGAGACTGAGTCCAGCCTGGTCTCCATAGCAAGTTCCAGGCCAACTTGAGCTGAGTGGTAAGATCCTATCTCAAAACAAAAATTAAAAGCAAGGGACCTAGAGGGATGGCTCAGCAGTTAAGAACACTTGTTGCTCTTGCAGAGGACCAGGGTTCAGTTCCCAGCACCCACAGGGCAGCGCTCACAAACATCTGAAACTCCAGTTCCAGGGGATCTGACACTCTCTTTTGGCTTCCTCGGGCACTGCTTGCCTGTGATGCACATTCATATATGCAGGCAAACACTCACACTCATTGTCTCAGTTAGGGTTTCTGTTGCTGGGACGCCATGACAACGGCAGCTCTTATAAAGGAGAACATTTAATCAGGGCTGGCTTACATTTCAGAGGTTCAGTCCGTTGTCATCATGGTGGGAAGCATGGTGGCACACAGGCAGACATGGTACTAGAGAGGAAGCTGAGAGTTCCATATCTGGATTGGCAGGCAGCAGGAAGAGAAAGTCACTGGGCTGGCTTGAGCTTCTGAAACATCAAAGCCCACCCCACTGACACACTTCCTCCAACAAGACATGGCCTACTCCAACAAAGCCACAGGTCCTAATCCTTTCAAATAATGCTACTCCCTATGATCCTATGGGGGCCATTTTCATTCCAACTACCTCACACATAAAATAAAAATAAATAAGCCTTAAAAAGAAAAGAAAATATATAGCCACACAAAAACTTGTATATGATCACTTACAACAGCGTCATTTATAAGAACCAAAATAAAGGAAACAGGCCGGGCGGTGGTGGCGCACGCCTTTAATCCCAGCACTCGGGAGGCAGAGCCAGGCGGATCTCTGTGAGTTCGAGGCCAGCCTGGGCTACCAAGTGAGTTCCAGGAAAAGGCACAAAGCTACACAGAGAAACCCTGTCTCGAAAAACCAAAAAAAAAAAAAAATAAAGGAAACAACCCAATTGTCTCCTTCTGTACATAAGTGGATGAACAAATGTGCTGTTTTCATACAGCAGAATGTTATTTGAAAATAAAATGGAATGAAGACCTAATATATTTTACAATGACTGAGTCTTAAAATTATGCTTAGGGAAAGAAGACAGACAAAAGATCACATGCTGTCAGATTTCATTTTTTGTGAAAAGTCCAGGATAGGCAAATTTAGGGACAAAAAGTTGGCTGTGGCTGCCAAGCAGCAGTGAGTGATAAGGGTGGGGTGGGGTGTCTTTTTTGGGCAATGGAAATGTTCTGAAATTAGATGGGGATGTTGATTGCACAACTTTGCATATATACTGAAAACCACTTACTATGTGTGTTAGTCAACTTAACATCACTGTAATAAAAAATACCTGGAAAAAAAATGAAGTAGGCCATGTTGATTTTAGCTCATGGTTTCAAAGGTCTTCGGTCCATAGCCCAAAGGCCCCAATACTTTGGGCCTGAGGTGAGCTGCTGGTAGCAAGGAAGGAGAGAAAGATATAGGAAAGAAGCCAAACAAAAACAATATCAAAAGTATTTCAATAAGTTGTGCGCCAAGGAATACCTACTGGCCAAATGCAGCCCTGCATCTGTCTGTTGACATCTCTCTAACAACCGGATATAGCCAGTCAATCCAGTCCAAGCCTGAATGCCACAGTAGAGAGCCTGCTCAAGACTGGGGGTGTCACACTGTCTATGTACTATGGGGTTCTCTGGGGCTCTGAGCAATGCCAGGTTTGGGACAAAGTGCTCAGAGCTGAGTCAGGAGACCCATGTCTTAATCCTAATCTCTGCTAATAATGTTCTGGGTGATGCCGGGAGAGAAATTGCCTCTGTAGGCACAGAATTTCTCTCTGGAAGGTATGGGGATGAGGAGAAGGGCTTTTGAGATATTTATCTTCTTTTCAAAGTTCTATGTCATTCTCATGAAGACTTGTATACTCCTCTATTATTTCATATAGTCCAGGTACCATCATACCTGGCAAACACTTCCTCTACAGATCACATAAGGCCTTGACATTGAGTGTTTTGTCACAATGACTTTATTGAAATATGGTTTCACTCAACAGAGTTTACTCATTTAGAGTGTTTTAATTGTTATTTCTTGTTTCTGTGCATTAAAGCTGGGGGTTGCACATTCAAAGCATGGACTCTACTGCTGAGCTATATGCCAGCCCCTAAAGTGTTTTTAAAAGCAGTATTATGGGGGCTGGAGAGATGGCTCAGAGGTTAGGAGGCCTTACTGTTCTTTTAGAGGATCCAAGTTTGGTTTCTAGCACTTATATTGGGTGTTCACAACTACCTGAAACTCCAGCTCCAAGGAAGTTAATGCCCTCTTTTGTGGGGGACCTACACACACACACAATAATTAATTAATTAATTTTAGATATGATGTGCCCTGCCCCTCAGCTGTCAAATCAAAAGAGAGAGAGAGAGAGAGAAAGGAAAGAAGGAAGGAAGGAAGGAAGGAAGAAGGAAGAAAGGAAAGAGAGAGAGAAAGAGAGAAAGAGAGAAAGAAAGAAAGAAAGAAAGAAAGAAAGAAAGAAAGAAAGAAAGAAAGAAAGAAAGAAAGAAAGAAAGAAAGAAAGAAAAAGAAAGGTGTTGTTAAAGGTCTGGTCCTGTAGCTAGAGTTTTCCTGCCTGGCCCACAGTCAGGACAAATCTCTCTTACCTGCCAGTCCCACAGCCGCTCAGACCCAATCAAGTAAACATAGAGACTTATATTGTTTAAACTGTTTGGCCTAATGGCTCAGGCTTCTAGCTATCTAGTTCTTACATCTTAAATTAATCCATTTCTATAAATCTATACCTTGCCACATGGCTTGTAGCTTACCGGCATCTTCACATGCTGCTAGTCATGGTGGCGGCTAGCAGTGTCTCCCTGACTCAGCCTTCCACTTCCCTGAATTCTCCTCTCTCCTTGTCCCGCCTATACTTCCTGCCTGGCCACTGGCCAATCAGTGTTTTATTTATACAGAACGATATCCACAGCATGGTCCAGCTGGTAGAATTTTTGAGGTGATTGGGTCATGAGGCCTACAGCCAAATAAATGGATGAACTCACTGATAAGATCATGATCTGATGGCATTATTAGGTGATGATAGAAAGTTTCAGAGGAGGGACCTGCTAGAGGAAGTAGGCCTCTCTGGAGATGTGCATGTGAGTGCAGATGTCCAAGGAGGTCAGAAGACGGCATTAGATTCTCTGATGCTGGAGTTATAGGCAGTTGTGAGCTATCTAAATGTGAATGTTCCAGTCCTCTACAAGAGCAGTATGAGCTCTTAACTACTGAGCATCCCTCCAGCCTGTTTTAGGGGGGTTGTTGCTGCTGCTGTAGCTGTTTGGAGACGGGGTCTCACTGTGTTGCCTTGGCTGGACTAGAACTCACTATATAGACCAAGGCTAGCTTCAAACTCTGACTTCAGAGTGCTAGGATTAAAGGTATGTGCCACCATACCCAGCCCATTTTAGTGTTTTTAATATGAAGAAACTAGGTTCCACCTCTAGATCTGCTGAGTGAGAATCTCTGAGGTTGGGAGTCTGGAATTTGAATTTGTTTACTTAAATATCCAAAGTGATTCTAAGAAACTGTGACACCTCTTGGAGCAGTTGGACATCAGTGTCCAATTTTTATTTCAGGACAAACAATTACCCCCTGGAATGGAATGCTGCTTACTCATTACCATCAAAATCCACTACTGACCAAACAGCAGCCCTGACCCATCCCAGAGAAATGATCTAAGGGTGGAATGGGCAGGGAAGTACTGACAGCAAGATTCCCCTGATCTCATCCACCACTGAGTCAGACAGAGCCCAGGCCTGGTGACAGAAAAGAGCCAGGCCCTGCTTCCCCGAGTCAGGCAGTCCTTGTCCTGGTGGATAGAAGGAGAAGGAGCAGCATCCTCTCATTTCCTTAATGGGCTATTGCTTTTTATGTGAATGAATGGCTGAGCATGAAACAGCCCAGCAGGAGCTGCGTGCATCGGAGATGAGACAGAAGCACAAATCTATTCCTTGTTTAAAGATCACCCTGCTAAGAATAGAAACTGAAACACACGCTCAGGCGTGTGCACATACAGCTCGAAGGAAGGGCAGGATCCAATGGAGAAACCCCTGACTTAGTAGAAGATGGTCTGGTTCACAGAACCTCCAAGCAGGAAAGACTGCCAGCAAGCATTCTGTCTAGAGCTGGTCTGTTACAGGAGAGACAACGGCCCAGAAAGGCAGGGCCTGGGGAGCACCACACACTGGACTTCAGGTTTCTGTCTCTCAATTTCAAGCACGTCTCTTCAGCACACTGCCTCAGAAGCAAGCAGCTCAGAAGGTTGACCAGGATCAACATGGCACCACACTTCCAGGACTTGGCTGGGAGAAGGATTAAGAAAGAGCATCCACTATTGCCCCCCTGCCTAGAACATGTTAAACAAGTGTGTTAACTCTGTGATACACCTCCAACCAACAACACCACATTTGAAAAAGAATTTTTTTTTTCGTTTTTCGAGACAGGGTTTCTCTGTGTGGTTCTGGCTGTCCTGGAACTAGCTCTGTAGATCAGGCTGGCCTTGATCTACCTGCCTCTGCCTCCAGAATGCTGGAATCAAAGACAGCCTGGCACAAAATTATTTTTAAAAGTTGAAAACTAGATGTCCAATAACAAGAATTTGGTCAAAGCTCAGTTTAATGGCACATGCTTGTGATTCCAGTACTCAAAAGGCTGAAGGAGGAAGATTGCTATGAATTTGAGTCCAGTTGGGGGCACATAGTGATTTCAAGCCAGTCTGGGTAGAGTGAGTACTTTTCTCAAAGAGAGGAGGGGGAAGAAAAAGAGGAGGAGGGGACTAGACCAGTGAAATTAATAACCATCATACAGAGTGTTCCATGTCCATTGAAAACAGATCTTACGGGCTGGAGAAACGGCTCAGAAGTTAAGAGCGCTGGCCTCCCTTCAAGTGGACCTGGGTTCAGTTCTCAGCCACACATGGTGGGTCACAGCTGAATGAAAAAGTGGACTAAAAAGAAGGACATGACTTCTCCTAAGAGGGGAGTGGAGGTTTATTGTAAACAAAAGGAAGAGCACAGGAGATATGAGGGTGAGCAGAGCCGGAGGCATCTGGAAGGGTCCAGAGTGAACATAGCCAGACTGAACTGAACCTTGTGTGGGGAGGGGAGAGGGAGAGCCAAGAGACCAGGAGACCAAAGGGGCAGAAGGGTGAAAAGGGTAAAAGGAGCAGCTGGATTGTAGAGGGAAGAGCAGCTGGGGGATGGGCAGCCCAGTCCCTGAGCTGGAGAGTTCAGGGTAGGTGTTGGAGTATGCCAGCAAGGAGGACCCTGTAACGGGTAGGGACTGAGGGATGCTGGGAGAACTTGGAAGCCAGTGTCCACTCTGATGTGTTAGACATGCACCTCAGCCATTTGTCCAGGGTTTGCTATCTAACAACAACCATTTATAACTCCAGTTCTAGGGGATCCAACTGCCTCTTCTGACCTCACAGGGCACAGACATACATGCAAGCAAAACACTCATACACAAGGAAGAAAGAAAGGGAGAGAGGGAGGGAGGGAGGGAGAAAGGGAGAGAGAGAGAAAGAAGAAAACAGTTTTTACGGGCTGGTACATATGCCTGTAGTCACAATTACCTGGGAAGCTGGTATGAAATAGCTTGATCCCTAAAGTTCAAGTCTAGTCTGAGCAGCATAGCAAGACCCTGTCTCAGTATATGTATTTAGACAGACAGACAGACAGACAGGCAGAGACAGAGATCTACTTACATTGAAAAAAATGAAACAAAAACGGAGGATGGGAGTCTTGATCTGAATGCATGTCCGCCCCAGATTCTTAGGCTGAAATCTGATCTCCAGTGAGTTGGATGTGTTACTGGAATCTGAGGTGTGTGCTGCTCGACACCTTACCAAAAAAAACCGGGGACAAGAGTTTGCAAAAGGAAATGAGGTTATTTCTAGTTTTGTCCAGAACTGGGGAGAGAAAAATTCTCAGCTTCCCTCACCTTGCCTGCAGCAGCGTTAAAATTGATAGAAATGATGAAACAAAGGCCAGGGGGAGATTTAGCTGTGAAAAATGATCAGAGCCCTGAGATTCATCTTTTCCTGGGAGACCCTTTATCCTCTGGAAAGTGAGATTTCCTGGAGAAACGTTAACCCCTTAGAGCCCTCCTTGTAGGTCTTTTAAGAGGCGATGAGCTAACTAGGGGCTGCATGATAAATAGGAAAAGCAGCAGACTCCCACTGCAGGAGCATGCTGGCTCATGAATGGGGTTAGCGGCCCTATGGAGAGACTAGCGAGCCTGTCTGTCCCTTCCTTCCATCTAGGAGGTCAGAGTCACAGTTTATGAGGCACAGTGCTCCCTGGGGGGGTCTTAAGCTTGGACTTTCCAATCTCCAGAAATCAATTTCTGTTGCAGAACCTAAGGTCTCTTGCTGTAGTAGCCCGAATGGGCAGATAGAGAAGTATACAAACAGCATGTGCAGTAATTTACAATTATGAGGCCAGCTGTGAGCTGGGCACGGTGGTAGACACCTGTAATCTCAGCGTTCTGATCATTTCTCCCACAGCTAAATCTTCTCCTGGCCTTTGCCTCCACTGAGGCAGGAGGATCCGTGAGCTCCAGTCTCCACTATACAGGGAGGTCCAGGTAAGCCTGGGCCAGAGAGCAAGGGCTTAGCACTGTGCTAGCCACTTAAAACAGCATCTAATTTAGCTGGACATGGTAGCATGTGCTGTAATCACAGTACCTAGGAGGAGGTGAGAGAGGAACATCAGGAGTTCAAGGCCATCCTCAGCTACATAAAGAGTTCTAAGTCAGTGTGGGTTACGTAAGACTGTTTCAAACCTCGTCCTCTGTCTAAAAACATACATACAAACAAAAAAAGCCTTTATCCAATTTAATTGCCTTTAATTTTTAAAAGAAAACCTCCCATTCTCTTTTACCTTTAGCCCCTGATAATCCATGTTTTTAGACTAGATCTTGCTATGTAGCTCAAGATAGCTTCAAACGCACCATCCTCCTGCCTCCATCTCTCAATTACTAGAATTAGAGGTGTGTGCCATTATATCCAGCTTTAATTTATTTCTATGTCTACAAATTTTTGATTCTAGACATTTCATGCAAGTAGAATCAATATGCATCTTTTTTTTTTTCTTTTTTTGAGACAGGGTTTCTCTGTGTAGTCCTGGCTGTCCTACAACTCACTCTGTAGACCAGGCTGGCCTCAAACTCACAGGGATTCACCTGCCTGTGGAGTGCTGAAATTACAGGCATGTGTCACCACTGCCTAGCTGTCTTTTTGTCCCACTGTGTTGTTCAAACTGGTCTTGACTCATGGTTTTTGTCTTAGCCTTCCAAATGGTGAGAATCCAAGCATGTACCGCCACATCTGGCTTTTATTTTTAAAATTTTGACTTTTTTAGCTGGGCAGTAGTAATGCACACCTTTAATCCCAGCACCCAGGAGGCAGAGGCAGATCTCTGAATTCCAGGACAGCAAGGGCTACACAAAGAAACCCTGTTCTTTTAAAAAAAAATTATTGTATTTTATTTTATGTAGAGGTAGGGTGTGTGTGTGTGTGTGTGTGTGTGTGTGTGTGTATACACGTTCGTGCACGTGATCTGTATTATAGAGTTCATGTTGTGCCCTGCTCTAAGTTGCTCCCTAGTGTGTGGATCAGTGACTTCAGGCTGTGCCTTACCCTGGTGACTCCATTTTACAAAGCAATCTTCAGTTCCATCTTGCATACACAGAGGCAGGATGACTCTGCATCCTATGTGCACACAGATACAGGTGGTGACCTGCCCAGCATGAACCATGAGGCACAGTCTGATAAATAACTTATTCATGCAAGGGAACCACTTAAGGACTTACTGGAATAGACTTGAGTACATGTAGGTACATGGACATATTAAAGTCATATCAGAAAATCAGACCCTTGCATTGAACACACCAAACCAACAAAGGATGCAACAATCTTACTTGATCCAATGAAAGGAGGGCCATATAGTGATGGCTTGGAGGTGGCCCTGCTGGTCTGTCATTTTGCCACATGATAAGTATGCATCAAGTGACTGACAGAGAACTCCCGGTTGTCACCAGGGCTTCAGCTCAGGGCAGTCCCCACTACTTGGCCTACTCACATTGTCATCCAGCTCTGTCAGGAACTGGCCCATTGACTTGTCTTGTAGCAGCTTCCAGATTAGCTCTGTGCACCCCCAGCCGCCCTGCAATGGGGTTCACTAATACCTAACCACCACAGTGGCTCCCCAAATCTGCCAGCTCTTGGCCTCTGTCTTCTGTAGGGCCTCTCATACTCTGCAGCCTCTTTAATCCTTTTGCAGCCATTCTGTTACACACACACACACACACACACACACACACACACACACTAATGTATGATCTGAGAATTAATAGTCATAATTAAGATCTTAATAAAAGAACCAGTGACAGCTAACAGCCAGCGATCCAGGGAAATTGAGATCATTTGATAACTATGTGGCTTATAAATGTATTGTAACTCAATCAATTCTGGCATTGTGAAGAGACACAGATGTGTGCATACGTATTTCTGACATAATGCAGTCACAATGGTTATGCTTTTGAACAATTTTTAAGCATGCATCTAAAGTAGGAGCCAAACTATACATCTATCAAATGGCCATTAAGAACACATGATTGGCCACACATGGTGGGTGGCACACACCTTTACTCCCAGCACTCAAGAGGCCAAGACAGGCAAACCTCTGAGTTCAAGGCCAGCCTGGTCTACACAGCAAGTTCTTGGACAGCCAGGACTATACAGAGAAACCATATCTCAAAAAACCACCAAAAAAATAAAAGCAAGCAAAAATCCCATGCAATTGCTGTTCTTAGAAAGGAGAATTAGCCAGTCTGGGAAAACTAAGGATGAAGTTCAATATATGGGAACTATATATTGTTATTGTTTTGTTGTTTGTTTTTGAGACAAGAGTTTCTCTGTGTAGCCCTGGTGTGTCCTGGAACTTACTATATAGATCAGGTTGGCCTTGAACTCGGAGATCTTTCTGCCTCTCCATCTGGAGTGCTGCGATTAAAGGTGTGTGCCGCCACTGCCTGGCTGTGTTTTTTGTTTGTTTGTTTTGTTGTTTTTGGAAATATATACATTTTTAAAACCTTATTTTATTTATTATTGTTGTGTATCTGTGTGTATGAGGGGGATGCACCCCTGCCACTGTACTCATGTGGAGGTCAGAGAACTACTCTGTGAAATCTGGTCTCTCCTCCTCCTCTACATGGGCCTGAGGGATTGAACCCAGGTCATCAGTCTTGCACTGCAAGAGTTTAACTGGCTGAGCTATCTTGCTGGCCCAGAATATAACTGAGAGCCTCCGTCCCTGAGGCAGAATTGTGTTGGTCCCTTTGTCTCTTTGTCACAGATTTCTATGGAGAGGCGCGTCTGCAGCCCTCAGGGACTGAGCCCTGACAATTGAGCTGGCTGGAACACCTAGGCTTAGGTTTTATAGCTTTAACAGATGCTTGTTGTATTCACACCCTTTTACACATCTGTGACTGTGGCTTCTTTAAAGATGTGTGAACTCAGAAAAGAGCAAATAACGTAATGAAGAGGAGGGAAGACCTTTCTTCCTTCACATGACAGGCTGATGCCTCTAGCTTCCACGACCTAGGGCAGAGCCCCAGGAGCCTCTGTTTGGATTTAGGTTAGCTGAAGGAACTGGAAACACAGTAAGGTAGGCAGTTCCTGGGAGGCTCTTCTAAATGCACTGTCCCCACAGAATGACATTGTTTCAGGACAGAACTGAAAGGAAATGCTTTGTGATTGAAATCAGCCATCCTGTGCCCCAGGGGCCTTGGGATAGGCTGTCTGCCTCCTGAAGGTGCAGCAGTAGAGAACAAACAAGGTTTGCTCCCCAAAACTCTCCAGCTCTCCAATCCGGAGAGCATAGGGATATGGGGTGCTAGAATATGCTGGGACTCAGGACTTGCCACCCCAAAGATGACTGCAGAAGACCAGAATATGCCATCACCAAATATAGTAGTCCATTGGCATATTTTAAGCTAGTTATTCTGAGAAACTGCAGACACGGGAGAAGCTTTCAAATCTGTTTTGTAAAAGAAATTTACATCTAGAAAGGAAATCTACTGGGGGGAAGGATCTGAATTAAGAAGAGAGCTCCTGGGGCTGGAGAGATGGCTAAGCCATTAAGAGCACTCGTTGCTCTTGCAAAGGACCAGGGTTCAGTTTCCAGCACCCACATGGTGGCTCACAACCCTCTGTAACTCCAGTTGTAGGAGATCTGAAGCTACTTCTGGCTTCCACCAGCACCAGGCATACATATGCATGGCACAATACATATATGCAGACAAAACATCCATACACATAAAATAAATCATCAAATCTTTAAAACAGAGAACTCTTCTCCTGTGCTTTTTGCCTGAGGGCACACCTGTACACCAAGACAGCTTTTTTGCCCCACACATCACGCACTACCCTCCTGTAACATGACACATCTTCTCCTCCCA